GAACCGAAAAGTGACTTACATAATTATGAATTTAAGACAAAGTGTTATATTTCACTTCTTTGAAAATGCATAATGTTCTGTAAAGGTATTAAGAACTCTTTGAAAGGGCTTCCTGATATGAATAATTGCAAATGTCAAAGGATGGGAGTTCTCTGATAGTGATTCTATCTCCAGAATGTCAGGTGCTGGTGCAAAGGTGACATGAATGATTTGAATGAGTTGTTCTATATCTCAGTGATGATCCTGTAGGTAAATGAAAGCAGTGCTCAATAACCCACAGAGATTTATTCAAAGTCAAAATGTCAGAGGTAATGAAACTATTTAGGTTGTGTTCATAGCTTTACTTTGCATTATATAAATGAACACTTAGAATTGATACATACTGTTAAATTAAGGAAACATAATTTTGTAAAGTAGGATGATACACTATGGCTTTTAGTAATATACTGATAGTCATTAGGGTGATAAAATTGAAATAAGGAATAAATGACATAATGTTTTGAAAGTATTTTGAAAAATGCCAGACAATTGGTAATGTTCACTAAAAAAGGTATACTTTTCGTTTCCTTTGCCATAAACATGTATTGAGATACGGCACATGTTTACGGTGTAAAATTATATAAACTACTCATGAAGTGAAAAGCGTAAGTCAAGAATATGTAAAATGTGAATTGTGGTTTGTGTTCAGATGGTGAGGACTTCTCTAATTGGGATGCTACAAAATAGGAATATAATGAAAATAATAGGACATAGGTTGGGGCTAATATACCATAGATAATCTTAAATACTAGATTAAGGAGTTTGTATCATATGTTTTTAGGGGATAGGTAGCCACTAAATGCTCTAAACAAAGGGAAGGGCTAAGAAACATTTCTACTAACCACATTGAAAACTATTAATATAGCAGACTAGATACTATACTGTCTAGTATCTATATAGTATAGTATTGCAAAGTAAATAGAAGATCTGACTTAAAGAAATTGTGAAAAATAAAAATAAGTGTTTAAATATGAGAAGAATTTAAAAGGCAGACTCATTAGAGCTTACATAGGAAATGATGTACACTATACTATACTATACTATACTATACTATACTATACTATACTACACTATACTATACTATACTATACTATACTATACTATACTATACTATACTACTAGAGGCCTGATGCATGAAATCCATGCAAGAGTAGGCTTTCCTTTCCCCTGCTGCCTGCACCTGCTTCCCTCTGGCACCTGGGATATATCTTGGGATATATTCCTAGAAGTGGGATCACTGGGTCAAATGGGAGTTTCATTTTTAGTTTTTTGAGGAAACTCTATACTGTTCACAGTGGCTGCTATTTTAATTGCTCAGGCCAGAAATGCCTCCATCCTCCTGGACACCCCCACCCCCACCCCCACTCTTCCTATCTGCCTAATTAAGCTAACTAGCTAATCCTTATCACCATCAACATAGGAAAGCATGCCTTTCACCATATCCCTGCCAGAATGAGTTATCTGGGAAAGTCATTATAATTTTTCCCCCAGAAAACAAGTTACAGTAGAAGGCAACCCAAAGACTATCTGAACTCCACTGTAACTTTACAGATTCTCTTACATCATTACAATGCTTGGGGATTTTTTAATAATTCAGTTTTCTAATGTAAAATTATCATGATAAATCACTTAAATCAGTAAGGGTAGAATAGCTTTTCAGTAATATTTCAGTTAAGAGATTCAATATTCAGTCATATTTTTGTTTTATTTTGCTGTTTTTTTGTTTTCTTTTAAGCTGGCAAAAAGTTTGGGAGAGTCTGCTGTGTTTGTATCAGGTATTATCTCCTTTTGAACCGGTCACAGTAGGCTAGTTTACACTGTGGTCACTCAGTCTCAAACTCTTAATGACCTTTAACACCAATGGTTCATTTCTAGCTAAAGCCCATTACCAATTGGCTAGGGGTAGGGAAAGAATTTGATCCACGCCTATTTTCCACCATTGAAGCATTGCTGGTGGTTGTGGCAGGGGGCAGAAAAGACAGAAAATTGAAAACCCACTTTGAAAAACATCCTACCCTGCAATAACTGTATGTCTGATCACTTAGTAATTAGCAATATTGACTAACACATTTATTAGAATGATTTCTTGAAACTCTTATTACATATTTCTCAACTTGTCATGATTCAGCACATAGTATTCCCCTAATGGTAACTTTACCAATTTGGAATTATTTTGTAAGTGTATTAAAATAATTAATGTTGAAAAACTGGGTAGTTGGGTTGCTCTATAGATTGAAGAGTTAAATGGTCACACAGCTACCCGTTTCTATTTGTTATACTGTTCAGGTGGCTCACTGAAAGAATTGATTAATGACATAAAAATATTATGACAGCTCAATCAGCAACATTAGGATAAATGACATTAGTGTTTGTCATATTTTCAATGTGATTGAAAACTAGCTGCAGCCTTTGATGATTGCCATTTAGTACTAGTTTAAATTCATCAGTGTGTTCACCTCAAACTTGAAAATAGTTGCAGCTCTTGTATTGCTAAGGTAGTGCTTAGAGTTTGTGATTGTTATTGAAACTATATAATTCTTGGAAATACCTTGACGATTGAAAGGGGTTGGGAAATTATGAATGTACATTTTCATGAAGGCAGAGAGTAATTTTTGCTCACAGAAAAATGATCTTTTGGACAATCTCTGGTATTGCAGCTTTGAGTGAATGACATTAAAATTCTGATTCCATATTGCTGGATCTTTTACATTGAAGCAGATGTCAGTTTCTTATGGGTCCTGAATATCATCCACTCTGTTCTTCAACTATAAATGTAACTACTGGTCAATGGTTTTGGATAATTTATACATCTGATGAAATCATGGAGGTTTTTATTAATATTTGACTTAGAGGTTTTTTTGTTTGTTTGTTTGTTTTTGTTTTTACCTTCAGAAAGCAGAGGATTTGGAACAATTTTACTTTGAGTTAAGTCACTCCTACTCCTAATAATAATAGCCACTTTGCTTGAGCAGCCTGGGTGTGGATGATCTGAATTGTCATTACTCACAAACCCTAATCAGAAGGTTCAGATCCAAAGAGGAGATTCCCTCTAAGTCAGGAGGACTTTGTGTGACTATTTCATATATTGTTTGTAAGTTTTACAAAAGATGTGGAACTTAAGCTTTTGATGGCTGGATAAAGTTAATATTTTTTCTGTCATGAGGGACTGTGAGCGTCATTAAAATTAACTTCCATCCAGTTTTATGACACCTGAGATATAGGTCTTAAACTTTTGCCAAGGTGTGACACATATGCTTTCAATAATAAGCTTATTTCTATATTCTATTATTGCTTGAAAACTTCCTAAATGAAGCAAAAGCAGTAAATATTATTTGCTAATAACTCTCCTCTTCCTTCTTTTCCTGCTGGTACTGTTCCACTACTACTCCTAATAAATTTTCACATCAGTACCACGTGTAGCACTGGTCAATAGTTTGGGATAATTTATACCTTGTCTGAAGCTGTAGAGATTTTGTTTTGATTTAGAGTTTGGAATCTTCATAAAGCTCAGGATTTTAAACCAAATTATCTTGAGTGTGGTCAGCCTTGCTTCTAGTAATAGACACATGTGCTATATGTTCTATGTTCATCATCTCATTTATTCCTACAACAGATATCTAGAAATTAGACATAAATATTATTAAAGGAGAGGATTAAGATTTTAGAAAGCTACAGAAAAGTATCCAAGTCACTGAGATTTTAAATTTAGGCTGCCCTATTATAAAGCCCATACTTTTAAATACCCTGTTGTATATTTCATTCTTCGCACTTGCCAAATTCTTTTTATTCTATTAACATTCTCACCTGTAATATAAATGTCAGGTAGTGGTGGAATGATTAACTAAATACTCTAACTGTTAAATGCTTGCAAAATCCTCAAAATCAAAACAGAATATCAACAAAATATTCTGGATATTAACATTGCTTTCATCACTGTGCATACCAAGATTATAAATCTAGGGCCTCATAATTAATCAGATAATTATTTCAGAAGCTATGATGTTTGCTGTATTAGTTCTTGTGTAATGATCCTATAGCATGCTGGAACACGTGGGCACTAGGCCAGCTTTCACATTCTTAGTAGAATGTTCAATCAAAATAGCAATTTGGCTCATGGTGGACAGTATTCTATTCCCTTCAATATGTGGATGAAACATGGTTCTATGAAGGTTATATTATCACATCGGCCAGCAGTTTGAAATGCTTATCACTAAAAATATTTTAAAGTGGTTATAAATAATTTTACCCTGATGTTGCTATTATTTTGTTGATATTATTTGTAGTTGACATTATTGGGGCTGTTCTTGTTGATATTATTTTGGAAGACTCTCTGATGTGTTTAAATAAAAAAATCTTTACTAAATCTCAGGCACAAGGTTATTATTACTGCTATGCTATTTGAGAAAGAATTGCCAGAAGAGAGTGGGGCATAGTGAAGTGTGTTGACTTAACAATTTCAAGGAATTCTATCTTCCTTTCCTTTTATCAGCAGATCTGTATATGGAGCTAGATAGAAATCAGAGAGATTCTGTAAATATTATTTCACTGACCACAAAAAGTAAAACGAAAGACGCCTTTCAAACAGTCAGTTGGCTGTTACTAAAATGGTATCTGGTATAGTTTTCAGTCTCTTGAGAATGCAAAATATTATCTCAAATCCAAACCAATTTTAAAGTAAGAGAAAGAGATTATTAAGTAGATGAAAAGTTGTGGTTGAAAATATGGGTTTAAAACTTTAAATAGTGAGGATCATGTTATTTCTAGATAATAGTTTGATATTGATATAATAGGGAAATAAATAACTATTAATAATTAAAAGCAATACAAAAATATGCATTCAATAAAGACAAATTGAAAACTGACAAATAAACCCTTAGCTTTCAGCTATTGTTCTATAATACGAAAGCTTTAAAAAAGGTTTCCTAATATGTTGGTTTTGTTTTACATGTTTCCTGATCCAGATTTATATCTTTGAGAATAATATCTACTATCAACCTGATATAAAGAGCAGTTCATTGCGACTGACATCTTCTGGAAAAGAAGGAATTATTTTTAATGGGATTGCTGACTGGTTGTATGAAGGTGAGTTGAATAGATTTAGTTTCACAAGAATGCAAATGATATATTTGAATACACTATCTCTAAGAAAAATCTGTTCAATTTCAGAACAATACTTACAGCACTATTTCTTCTCCTCATTTCCTCTCAAAATTGCCTTCATGCTTTCATTTCTTTGTATGTGCTCATATTTTGACTGGTTGTGATTTATATCTACTTATATGATTCCACATTTGGGATATATATATATATATATATATATATATATATATATATATATATATTCAGGCCAAATAGATACATATATTTTATTTTTGGTAATGCTTAGCTAATGAAAGCGAATGATCACCTCTATTGCACACAGGGATTAGATGTTGAAATTTTTTAACTCTCTCAAAAAAACACTTTTAAAATTCTGTCATATTTTAAAAGCCATTGTAAAAGGAGGAAAATAAAACTTACCTAAAGAATTATTTGTGATAACTATTTAATAGTTTAATAATAACTGAGAATATTAAAAAGAATCAGATTTGAAAACCTCTATCTAGTTTGGTTATTTACCAATTGTCAGCTTCATTATAAGTAGTGATTTTCTTGGGAATCAAAGCTCAAGTTTAATACTTAGATTTCAGACTCTGCAACTGATTTGGCAAAATATGTCAAGATTTAAACTAAGGTAGCCCATTTTTTTTGAAATTATAAAGCTAAGTATCACCCAGAATATACATTTTCTGGAACAACATTGGCAAATGTAATCTCTCTACCCAGAGTCAATATTTCTAATTCTGTTTTAAAAGCAGTAAATTACTTAGCTCATTTATTTCTTCATCCATTCTCTCCTTCAGCACACAATTTTAAAGGACTTCTGTGTTCTAAGTACTTGCCTGGGTCTGAGATACATCAGGGAACAAAACAAAGTACTGCTCTCAGCACCTCACAGTAAGAGACACATTTTCCTGGGTGGAGCTATTTTATCAAGAAAGATATGTTGAAGCCCTTGATATTTATTTATTTCTAATAAATATATTGGGATGACATTGGTTAATAAGATCATATCAGCTTCAAGTGTACATTTCTAGCATATAAGATCTATATATTACACTGTGTGCCCACCAACTACAGTCAAACCATCTTCAGTTGATATTTGTATGTGTATGTTTACATGCATATTTATATCTATAATATATTTTTGTGTATATGCCAGCTTCAAATAATCAAAGATTTGAGAGGCCACAGTTTATCCCCAGGAGCAGTAGTAGCTACTGTGGAAATAGCCATAATTATGCTATGAAATTTTTTAAAATTGTAATACCAAAATAGATAAGTAAGGTTCTTTGGTTGAGAGTGTCAGAAGCTAAGTCTGGCTTTCTTATTTCAAAAAGATGAATTATTTGAAGGGCCTGGGATGTCCCAGTGAATTGAAAAACCGTTGGAAAACAAATATGAAACCTGGGTAGTTCTGGTAAACTAGAAAGGCAGAGCTAACCATCGCTTATCTAAAGGAGATAGATAAGATCTGCCCTTTATCTTTAAAATATTGTTGGACTGTGTGAAACCTTGACAGATCAAGAAACCAGATCAATGTAGTGTGGTAAGTAGTCAAATCACAGTGAACACAGGATTCTTTGAAAGAACAAAGGAGAGGAACTCAGCCCATCCTAGGAATTTGCAAATATTTTCTAAAGGAGAAAACCTCTGAGCTGAGCCTGAACCAGTAAGTAGAACACATAAGGAGAAACTAGGAAGGAAAACCAAAGCAAGGCTTAAAGCTTACAAGAGCACAATAGGGTGAAATAGCATGGTGAGTGCCTAAGGAATGAAAATCTGCTTATTATTAATGTGGCATAAAATTTAAGAAAAAGGAAGTCAGCAAGAACCAAGAGATAGTGACAATAAAAATAATCTGGAATTTTAATTACATTTTGCCTGGAAAATAGGGAAACTAATAGAGTTTTTCAAGTAAGAGAGTGTCAAGATTAGATGTTTCATATAAATAAATCATTTGACTCTAGTGTGAAGCTGGGGTTGAACGCAGCAAGAACTAAGGAACAGCTACAAGGTGTTTATCAAGAGATAATGACCAATTGGACTATGGTTAGGGCAGGAAGAGGGAGGGAAGACTAAAATTGATGAAGCAGTAAAGCAGAAAGATGTTTGTGGTAAATGGATGGGGCAGATGGAAGACAAGAATGATTCTCTGGCTTCTGGTTTAGCCACTAATAAATAGTGGTGACAGACATCGGGAGCCAGCATTCATAAGGAGTAGTGGACTTCAGTGAGGATAGAAGCAGTTTAGTGGGAACACTGGTGCTTCCTAGCATGCTGGCATGCTACATTATGTGACAAATTGTGATCCTTAACATCAAGTCCACTGGGGGTATACTCAATGTAAATTGTACTATCTTGACCAATGATCAAGATGACTTGGGTCTCTGTCCTTTAAAGAAAAAATCATATAGTTTATAGTATTGCATTTTAAAGAAAATTGTAAGGAGATAAATTACAGACCATTATCTGACAAATTAGTTTTTTTCTTAATTAGAACATAAAAATTCTATGTAGTTGGGCTAAAAGTGAACAGTGTGTTGAGGGATAGGCAGAACAAACAAGTAACAAAAACTTTTGTGATGACATTGTAGGTCTGACATTCCAGAGGGGAAATAGAAAAATGATAGTTTTTTGTCATTCAATTTAAACTCAATCCTTTGGGCTCTTGTGGTCTAGGCATAGTAGGAAACTCCAGATGTGCCCTGTGATTTAATCTTGCAATGCTAGTATATCTAATCACTTGCTGAAGAAAACAAGATTTGGGCAGGATAGGCAACTTGGACATGGCCTCAAAGCTCATGAGAGGCAGAGCTTTAACTTGCATATGTATCTTCAAAGCCAGCGTGTAGTCCTAGTCAGCTCTACCTGTCACAGTTCAGCACTTTTAAATGTTTCATAAAGGATGGCATACATTATGCACTTAAGCCTTCAGATTTCACTAGTCTTTTTTCTCAGCCAAAGACTCTGAACACTACTATTCAGGGACTTAAGTCAATTCTGCGTTAGTTCCAAGAGAAGGGACCCTACCAAAGAAATTAATGTTAAGGTTTGGTAGAGGGATTTAGGCATATATTTTAGGACCTTGTATTCATATCACTGATTTCCCCTCAACATTTTGCCTGTCTTCCCAACCTATGTTTCAAGAGTCCCACATATACCTAATCTCCCACTATTACTTTGCTTGCCCAGTGCGCCAAGAGCACCCAGAACCCAGAGCTTCTCTTTTCCCTTAAACAAAAGCACCAAAAAACAGTGATTTCTACTAGGAATGCATTATTCAACAGGATGTGTGTGATAATCTAGTGTGGCAGTTTCCTTTTTATTACTTTACAGAACTTAATTATGACTTGAATTAGTAGGTGTGGGAGACTCAAGAAGTAATATATAACAGTTTCACTTACTTTTTAAATTGAAATTTGCCTTCTGTAAATGCTATAGGAAAAAAAAAAGATTAGATAAGGAATCACATAAAAGATAATAAGATTTTTTTATGCCAAATTTAAGGACATGGCTTAATCTTTTTAGGACTAGGCCAACCTGTAAGTGTGGCTCTTGTTCCCAACTGTAGTCACTAGAGTCAAGTCTTGAAAAGTTTTGAAAAGTGTCCTTTAAACACCCCTTTTCTTTATTTCTAGCATTATTCAATTCCTAAGGGAAGAAAAACAAATAAAACATAAAGTACTTTAAAGAGTTAGTGAAGTTCAGAGGGAAAAGGTGTTATGTTCAAAATAAAAAAAAAGCACATCTAATGTTATTCATATAAATGAGTGTATTTAACATGGTAACTCAACTAAATAAAGTATCAGATGAATGTTTTATAAAAAAAACTGTAAAATTCACAGTTGCCAACTTTACAACTTTGAGATCTTTCATAGCATTGAGTCTATTAAATAGAATAAAAAATGACTGTCACTTTCAATTGATTAAGCATATAAAATAATGGAACTAATGATTTATAAAAAAAGATTTATATTTAAGCATATTAAAATATCCCTCATATTTTTAAAGAAATTCATCTTTGAAATTCAGTCCAACAGTTATTGAGCACGTTTATCTGTCAAGCATCATCTGAGAGCAACACAATGAGTAGTACATATTTTGGGTACTTCCAAATTATTGGAGTGAAAAATTGTAAACTATTTTCTTGGAGCATGGTAAATAGAAGTATAAATAGAACTACACATCAGCATACTGACTAGAAATATAAACATAATTAAGTCTGATGGAATAGGAGGATATCTTTGCATTGCGCTTTAAGAATGACAAGAATAAACAACTGAGAGAAAGAAATTATAGGACAAACAATATTTTTATCAACAAAATGTGATTGTAACTTTTTTATTGTTTGATGAGAAAAATACAAAGTGCCTATTTTTATTGCCTTCTCTTGGACACAGAAAAACACATTTATTTTTTCACTGATTCAATAAATATTTATTGAGCACTTACTAAATTCCAGTAAAACTGAACTGTGACAGATAAACAAAAAACATTAGAGACGCAGCTATGGAAGCCAGAAGACGAAAGGATAACGGATATTGCTGAGTCTGGGGGCAAACAAGCTAAGGACACCAAAGTCACTGCTGGATTTGCTACCAGAACTTGACAAGGACATCATCATTCAATTGGGTGCACCAGAAGCAAGATTGCAGTGGATGGAGGTGTAATGGGAAGTGAGAAAGTTGTGAATATAGATAACTCTTTTGAGAGAGTTGACAGTGAGATACTGAAAATTAAAAGGGAAAAAAAAATCAACTGCAGACTCACAGAATTAGCTAGCAATAGGATACTCAGAAGACCCTATCTGTCTAAGTTGATAAACAAAAAATGGATACAATCAACTTACCTTTCAGAACTCAATGGTTATATATTAGTTTACTTCTTTGTATGGAGGCTATGTTTTTAATTGTCGGTGATATAAAGCAACATGTATTAAAAATTCCATCTGTTCTGCAGTGAGATTTTCTAAATCAGTG